CGGTCGGTTATTAGCGCCTTGCGATGAAGATACCACGGGATTCGTTAAACCGGATTTTTAATTACGGAGTGACACAAAGGGACAGCTGGGTCTTACAGCTCGGTTCGTTTCCGGTGCACGCGATACGCACCTCGGCTTCGCATAAATTTCGTCCGCGCACCGTCTCGTCGTCGTCGTCGCGAGTGTGACGAGTCTCGCGAAGAGAACATCGTGGCGAACGAGTAGAAGGCGGAGGAACGAAGGATCGATCGTTAAGAAGTCAGCCAAGGGTCGTCGGGGGTTATTCGATAAATGCCGCCGGTGAACGTTTTACGATCGGCGACCATTAACGTCCGACGCTGTGCACGGGCGGTCTTGCAGCGTGCACGCACACGCGGTACACTCGGACAGACACTCGTAATAACGATAAAGATCCAACGAGGCGACGCGACGCAGTGGTCTCGTTAGAACGACGGGAAAAAGGCGGGACCGTCGCGTAGCCGATGTGCATTGCGTAGGTTCAACGACTTCCTAGAGATCGATTCGCGGTGAGAACGATCCTTGGAACACTTTATAATTATAGGACTCGGAAAGTAAAACGCGATGCGATTTAGATATAAATTTCCTTGTTTCGTAACGCAAATACGACGTTGCAGGCTCGGGTTTTAACGTTCTGAACATTTTTATCCATTATTTATTACGCGTTACGATCATTGTTGCGACGCAATTAACCGTTGGTACAGTTTTGCCCGGAATGGGCGCAGTTAAAATTTCCCATAAACGTGCAAACAGCCGCGATCGTACGAGAGAAGGGCGAACGGCAGACCCTCGACGAGGCGACGAGTGCAATTTACGGCATCGACCGCGAAGAACTTGGCTTCCGTTCATAATTAATACCGTTTCCATGCGTTCTCGTCCGAGGCGATGCCTGGGCACACTCGGAGGTGTCTTCTTGCCGCCAGTATCGGTGTAGTTACCGTATCAAACCTTTCCAAACATCATTTAGAATACGTAACGAGCCGCGGCGAACATGCGAGTCCGTGTTCCCGTTATCGATCCGAGCCACGAAAGCTAACCCTCCCTTGTTTTCTTAACTAACTAATCGTTTACGGCGCAGACGGCACAATCGAGTCAGAAACTTTATACGCCTGCACCGGCGCGCAGTTCCTAGCGACTCGGCTAACTCACGTCGCGTACGTAGGTGAAGAGTTTCGATATCTCTGTCGGCAGTCGAGCTCGCGGGACTTCGGTGGCCGTGTTCGCCGTAGGAACTCCGGGGCTCCGGAGATACGGCGGAGAGCGTTTTCGCGTTTCGAGATAATCCTTCCTTCCTTCGGGAACGGGACCCTTCGGGATATCTTCCCGAGTTATTGCACTGCCGCGCCGCTTCTCCGCGGTATCTCGCCAACTTCCACGTTTCGTCGAGCGATCTTCATTTTTATTTCGACCGAGAAACATCGAGTCACTCGCCAAATTCTGGTCTCTCACCGAACTCGATACGTCGGACGAAGATACGCGAACTCTCGACCGCAGGCGCGATTCGTTCCATCTTTCGTCGACCGTTCTTACGTAATATCGTGTTACTTCGTTTCGTCGGACGACGAAAAATACGAAATATAAAGGGTAATCCGCGAAGAAACCCGAGCCCGGCCCGTAGGAAACGGCGCAGCAGTTTCAACGTTCGCGAGACTGGCCGCGGACTAATCCTATTTTCGTTAGATCCGTTAATGGTTAATGGGAGGCAAAGTGGTCAGCGACCGGAACAAGGCCTAAGTCCGTCTTAAATCTTTCAGGAGGGAAACCCTTGTAGCCCTTACTTCGGGATCGTAATCCGCGCGGGATAACTATTGGCCTCTCGTCGTTCTCCGCGCAGAGTCTCGTATGGTTCTCGTGAAATGCGTCAGAACGATGATCCGACGATTCGACGTTGTTCGAGGGCCGTCGAGATCCTTTCAGACACGTGTTCTCTCATCGACTTGATCGCGCGTCTCGGGACTTGGAATCGACTGAGTACCGCCAATAATCTTTAGACAGTTGAAGCGCGTCGTGGAGCGATGCCCGCGGGACAGGACGGACTTGGTCGTTACGCGTTTATAATACGCAGGGGGTGGAAACAATAATATGGTCGCTCGGTCGGGCCCAGCACCCTCCGGGCCTGGGGAACCCTCGCGTAGGCAAATAACGCGAGCCGCGGGATTAATCGGGATTCGGGGCCAGGAAATTTATGAAATTCGCACGCCGGAAACGTAGCGAGATCCGATTCCTTCGCGTAACGTTAATAGTCGGGGGCTAAACCGTATCTCCTTGGAAGACGCATCGCGGGAGGTTGCAGAATGCCAGGGATACCCGGGGTTGTAAATTACCAAAATAATCCTACGGTTAATTCCCGGCGGCGGTTTATTACCGCCGGTGATCCGACGAAATGAAATTCGTAAACGGCCACCGATCTCTCTGAGAAAGTACCGCGAGAAAACCTCTCCGATGTACAACGACGAATCGGAATGTTTTGTCAAATCTGTTTGGGAAAGTTTATGGTACGGCGACGACTGCGTCAAAAGAAACGTCTAACGTTTACGTATGTAGTTTCTTCGGAAGAAGTGTTTGACATTAAACTGTCAAGAGTCGACGCGTTGTCGCGACGACAGAGAGTAACCGTAGGGTGGGAGAATCGTGAGCGGGCGTAGGCGTGTACGCGCGATATATCTACGAACGCGTGTCGAGGGGCGGCGGGACGTAACACGAAAGCTACATTATACTATTCAAACGATTGCAGGGCACGCCGCGTACGGGTAAGTTGACATTGTTGTTTCTGAGGGTGGCCTGGGGCCCTGCGAATATCTTAGCGCCGCGCAGAAGCTATACATATACCGGGACGGCGCCGCACCACGTCGCCGTCGTCGTACAAGCCCTCCGGGGATGTGAACGCTGCTACCACCCAGCCTCCCCCGTCTTTCCGCCAACCATATACTAATCAATAACCATGAATCGCTCCGGTAACAGTGGCATGCACGTTCCGTTGCACCGTTATTGTTACCGGTACCCCCGGTGCCCGGGCTACCGTGAATATTATTATCGCCGATGATCCGCCTAGCCTGCACGCTCGATTCCGCGCCGCGATACGAGACCCCGATTCTCCGGCCTCGCGACAGCTGCCCTCGCATCGCGAGTTCTAATCGAAACACGGTCAGCGAGCGGAGCTCTAACACGATGAAAAGACATGATTCACGTCTAATTGACGCAGAGGCGCCTCCCCTCGAGTTCTTTTGCTCGTTCGCCACTAACATTAATCCCTGAAATTTTAATGGCCGCGAGCTCGCGGTCGAATTTCAATGAGCTCGGGCACCCTCGCGACACCCTCCTTCGAGGGATTGATTTTCGCGACTTCCGGCTCGGTCCGATTCCCTGGAAGATTCGAGCGTACGAGTACAATGTAGAGGGTCGTATTTAAGGGATGGAAAGACACTGCGTACGTACACGGTGGTGTATCGTTGAACCGAGCCGAGTCGATTCGAATCGGCCCCGGGGTCGGGACGCTCGCTCGCGTCGACGACGATCTCTAATAAAGTTCAATTATCTCCGGAAACGTTAGGGAAAGGTAGGCGAGCCTGGCGAGGGGCGGGAGAGGAACAGTCGAACGAGAGAACCCTAACGTCGAGAAAGAGAAACCGGGAGAGATGATAATCTAAACGATCGCAAAGTGGGCTGCAGAAACGCGCCGAAATTGGCAATAACAGGGTGGCCGAGGGGTGGGTGGAGGCGCGACGGGGCTGAAGAAGGGCGGCCGCGTAACGTGTATACACACCGGAGCGGACCGGGGATCCGGCGCGAACTTCCTATTCTGGTTAGCATTCAAATTGAATCTTCGTGGCGGCCGGTCGTGAAGAGTTACCGCCGTTAATGGACCTCGCAAACGCTCTCAAATTGCCGGCAGAATGCTGAGACGCGCGTTCCCGTACCTAATCTACCAGCTTGATTCCACGCCCCGCACTTCCCATCCGAATTTTCCGTCGAACCGACCTGCGTCTCTTCGTTCGTTCGTTCGTTCGTTCGTTCGTTCGTTGCGAATCTTTATCTCGCACGAGTCACTGAATGATGATCTAATATCGTTTCAGGATCATTGCGCCGGGTCGTTACCGAGTGAATTTTATTGCGTTAAACTGCGAAATGTCCGCAAATTGGCCGCGATCTAACGAGCAGCCGATCGGTCCGCGAGACGAGCGTTACGAGCTGCGCGGCTCATTGGCCACCGCGCCGATGTAATTCGAGGAGCAGACAGCCAGAAAGGAGGGTGACCCTCCGTTTTCTTTTCTTCCGTTAAATCGAATTAGGACCCACCGAAAACCGACTTCTATCGCGATCGAGGCTCTTCTCCCACGGGATCCGCGATTTAAGCAGGGTACTCATCTCGTTACGTACCTCTTTAAGCCACGTTCCACAGAGTCCTGATACATTGATATTCATTCGTCGATCAAAAACGAAAGTTCAAGTATTTCAATGCAATATGCAATAACGATTGTACAAGAATTAGATTGGAATCGAAGGAAAGACGAGGTCAGAAACACGGATCTGCACGCGAGGAGAGCGATGCCACCCTCTCTGTGAGATTCGAAATGGCTAATTTAGCGTGGCGAGTCCCATGGGCGACGGGGGTTCGCGAAAGGACGATAGGGCGTCTTGGAGACGAGGAGCCGGTATCGTCTCGCGCGTCTCGATGTAATTCTATTAGGGGTAACTATGCGAGCTCTGGTCCGGCCGTCGTCGTCGTCGTCGTCGTCGTCCGTTGGATTTAATCACGAACTCGCTAGACCGTACAATATCCTCCACGCTACCTTTTGGGAGAAGGAACGACTCGATGGAAGTGCTCGCTGAGGGATAACTCCGTCTAAGATCTCCTCCCCCGGCATTATTATAAATTCCCTGACAAGCAGTTTACCGGGAAAGTACAATTAAACGATGAATTGTTTATATCGCGCAATTCCCAATGCCGCGGCTTGATGAATTATTCGTTTTTGTGATTGCAGCCGAGCTGAAGATGGACGTACTCCGGGAGAGGGAAGTCAAGGACAGTCTCGAGCGACAGCTCCAGGACGAGCAGAAAGTCCGAGGTGAGTACCCAATCTTTGTTCGTACAATGACGGTTTACCGGCCAGATGGTCGCATGAAATACGCCGTCCGTCGCGTAGATCGCGGTCGCCCGATCGAAACGGACACCGTTTACGAGGGAATCCGCGTAAACTTTTCGCTCCACGCCCTTCGTGCATCATCTGCGAGTAGTTCGACTCCGCGATAAATCAAACGGAGACACGTTGCCATAAAGGCTACTTTCTTTCGACTCCGGTTGTTTCGACTTTAATGGAAGGAAGGAAGGAAGGAAGGAGTTTGTATCGAATGTCAGTGAGGTAATAGAATAGTCGCCTCGCGTTTACGGGTTCCGTGCCTCTTTGGCCACCCACTCGACCGACGCCCACGCCCTTCGGTTCCTTCCTTCGTTAAAAAAATCGACCGTCGGAAGCTGATTTCTCCATTGTGTCGAACATCGATACGCTCGTTCGTATTATTCTCACTCGCGATCACCCGCTGCACTCTTTATACTTCAATCTCGCGCGCGATAAACGTTGGAGATGAACAACAATAAAATTCCGTGAGCAGGGGTGGATTATTAGTCGAGAGCGGAGCCGCGAGTCGGGTGGCGGAGGTCCGGGAGAGAGGCAGAGGGCCGGGCGTAAACGAGGAAAGGGTGCGGGCAGATTCAATATCACGGATTTTCCCGGCAAAAGATGTCAGCGTCTCGGCTGACGCGAGCACAATGCGAGGCCCGATAAATATGTAAAAGTCGAGAAGACCGACGCGACGGGAATATCCGTGTGCTTCGGGGGCGGACAGCCGGAGAGAGCGCGGCATCGCTCATATTGCGCTCCCGCAACCAAAAAAAGTCTCTGTCCGGGAGGGCAGGGAGTGCTCCGATCGGCCAGCGCGATCGGGCCAATATTTTATTTTTTTCCCCCCCCTTCCGTTTCTTCTCGTGCCAGAAACGAGCCGACCGATACTGGCAAGGAAACAATAAAATTGATTTCTCTTAAAAGAACCGTCGATAAAATAAAATAAAAGACTGCTCGTCGTACGACAAATAATATATTGTAGCGCAGCGTCGGCTGTACTTTCCGCTAGTTTCTAAAAACAGAATCGGTCTCGGTTTCTCGGCAGAGTACGTGGAACGCGTTTCGGTCGATTCGCAGGAAAAACGAGTTGCAGAGGGCCGGGCCCTCGCGGTAACACGAGCCTGTGACAACAGCGGTCCATTAGTCAACCAGCTCAGTGTCAATACATGAATATGACAGCCGGTCTCACGGAATAGCCCATCCATCCCTCGGCCCGCCCACCCACAGCCCCGTAACGTCGAGCGAGGTTCTATGATATCGCAAATATAGGAAATAGTCGGCACCCCTCGCGCGAGCCTATAGAAACCTTTATCTTTCCGCGGGAAACTTCTGCCCTCACCTCGGGCTCGTCGCCCTGCCCGACGCCCGATGATCGATGCTACCTACTAACAGCGAATTCCGTGTACCCCGGCCACGTCGTACTTTTCGAGGATTCTTAAAGGCGGCGGCCGAACGTAAGACGATACTTAATTTGCGCGAGGCCTCCCGCGGTTCCGGTCGGATGATCGATCACCCGAGAATATTGACGCAACCGCTGAGACCATCGCCTCATTCGGCTAATGACCGGCGCGCAAATGAAAAGCGTGCGCTCTTCCTGTACGGAGCCCCGAGGGTCGATCGGTCGTGTCTCACCGGCCAGAAAACGCTAAGTCTATCGCGAACGGAGGAAACGTTCGGGTTTCCTTCGACGACGACGACGACGACGACGAATTGTTTGTAATGCTCGCGGCCGGAGACGAGCGGAGAAGGCGACGTCTTTATCAATTTTATAGCACGTGTATTCGCGTCTGCGAAGGCAATTTGTGCCGTGTAAGGAGGGAATCGCAGCGTCGGGTATGGGGATACGATGGGGCGCGGTGTTATTAGCCTGTTTAAAGCCCCGGCTGGCATTTCGGTAAAGGTCGAAATCTCCGACCCCCCGCGGACCGCCCCGTATTATCTTGGCAGGGGTTGCGAGCAGTCGGTGCGCCTCCGTCGCGGGCCGAGGCTTTTCTAATGGGACACGCGTCGAACAATGAGATGACCTTTCCCGAAGATCCGGGCGTCTCGCGACTTCCACTCACGGCTAAGAACGGTAGCAAAGTTTGTTCTTCTTCGCTCGCTAGAAAAACGCGGCTTTATTTGGAAAAGAGAGCCTCGTTTGTTGAAACATACGCCGCGTGCACGAGTTCTCTTTTTTCCTCTCTCTGTCTGCCGCGAAGAACGTTTCCCACGTTGTCACCGAGGAAACGAAGCGAACCGGATTTCAACAGTCGTAAAAGGCCGGTCGCGGTTTCGTCATCCAGGATAGACGAATGAGATCGAGCCAACGATCCGCGGCTAGGATAACAAATAGAACGCGGAACACAACGGCTGTTCTGGATCGGATCCGCGGCCGGAAATTCTGCTCGCCGTCAACCGATACCGTTTCCTCCGTGGCAAAAAGCCCTCGCCTCCTCGCGCGTATAAACCTCGCCTTGGGAACCGACAGCTGCCTTTGCCGCCGCTTTTGCGGCAACTTGCGGCCTCCTCGTAATTAGCCGAACCTTTTGTCGCCCGTCACGGAAACGACCCCTTTCGGTTTCTTTCGACGCCCGTGACACCTCGACGGGAAACCCGAGAGAAAAAGAATTACGCGGTCCAGACGTTCGCTCCTGGTATTTTTAAACAAACCAGTCGAGTTTACGCGAAGAATCGGGCATTCTATTTTTGCGATCCGAGCGCGAAGGACGATCGTTTCTCTGCGACAAACTGAATTGAAACTGTACGATCAACCGTCCGAGATTTATATACGCGAGGCTCCTCGTCGCCCCTTGAATTAGCCAGGCCGTAATGCCGGGATCGGGTGTCGGTGTAATTGGGTCCCGAGGGACTTTGCCGCGTTTCACCCCCAACTTGGACCACCGTCACGCTATCCCCGAGTTTTCGCAGCTATCTGCGAGCCTCGGCAAATCGTTTTCGCGATGACAATTATCGCCGTGAAGTACACCGACGATGAATCACGCCGCGTACGCTCAATGAGCAAAGCTATGGAAGATACGTATGTACGATATGATTGAAGTCATGAAAACGAGGAGGAAGATCGGCACGCGGGGGTCCGGATCAAATGAGTCAGAGTCCAAGTGTAAATCGACGTTGTCAGATGTAGAGAGGAATAATAACCGTCCGTCGGGTACACGAGTTCACGGTTGACGATCCCTTAAAAGATTCCTGACGCAGTGCCACGCCGGCCGTCCTATAATTACTCGTATTAGATCCATCCCCGGATCAATAGTCCGTGACTAACATATCCACCCAAGTACGTATCAGTCGCGACGCAAAGGAACCCGCCGCGGCTCGGCGTGTCATCTTCGAAGAGCTAATTCTCAAAAGAGGCTTGCACAGAGAAGAGAACGACGACGAGAACAACAACAACGGCGGCAGCATCAGCGGCAACGGGTATGGACATCGATGACGTCGGTGCTCCCGTGCGTAACGATAGCTGATTTGCTTTGAAGTGAACGTTTACACACACCGGATCGGCTGGAACCCTCCCCGGGCATTGTAACTGCTCTCGAGGCGAGCGCGGCGTAGCGGGGACACGCGTGCGACGCTACGTCGTGGTTGCGTCGTGTCCTCTCTCTGTCCCCGTTGTTCTCCGTCGACGCGCAGTCCTTATGCCTCTCTAGACGATGCCGCTGCGTGGAAACGTGTCGATTACCACCCTTACTACTCCGGCTTCCACGAATCCTTTGCGCGACCATTCTGATTCACTGAGTCCCGGAGCCGGAAATTTCTTCGGTCGACGAACGTCGGAAGACTCACGGATCGGCGACGCCTTCTTCCGGAAACGTTGACCGAAACGGTGTAAAAATAGAATCTCTTGACTCGATCAATCGGTGGTCTCGTCGCGTCTCGGACGCACCGTACGTGATACGAACAGCGCGTGTCAAAACGGTCTTACGTCACGGTACCGGTTTAGAGAACGTGTATATACAACGATTCTGTATACTCTTAAGCGCAGTGAAAAAAGGATTAACCGCACGTTTTACGCGCGGGGAGCTCGAATATCTTTTTTGCTCGGTGCCAGACCGGTCCGGCTCTCGGATCCAGATTCCTTCTCCGTGAAACTGGTACCGCGCTCACCAACTTCGGATGATTCATCGCGCTCCGGAGCAATTTATTATTTCATCGTCGATGATGATCTTTGCGATTCGTACCTCGGAACGACAGAAGCAGAAGCGGATCTAATGGCCGGTGACGAAGAATCGAACGGCAAAAAAGGGTGAAGAAGGACGGTCGGTGGGGCGGCGGGATCTCCCGCCTCGATCATCGGGAGAGCAGACCGGGCAAAGGGTTCGAGAACGGCTTGCCCCCTTTGTGCCAGTTTAGCGTTTCATGTCGTATTCCGACTCATTGGAAATTGAGGAATACAAAAGAGGCGCAAAAGGGACACGGCTTTGAGATAAAAAGAACATCGGATGGCGACGCTGTCACGCCAACGCCCCGCGAAAATAAACCCTTCTTCCCTCTGCCGATGGCGGGGGTGCGACAAAGGCGTCGCCACGGACCGGTCGACCCCCTCTTCGTACTGCCGGCCGTTCGGTTCCGATTTTTTCGGCAATTTTTTTTCCCCCCGGACTCTCTCGTTCTCCGAGAGTGGGCGAGGAAGATGTGTACAAAGAACGCACGCAGACCGGCGAGGCGCGCGGTCGGAGTCGTAACGGTAGCGGGCGAAAATTTTTGGAACGCGGGCGATAAAACCGGTGCTCGATCGGTGAACCGGAGGGAGAGCGGCGGTCGTTCGCCGGATGGAAGCCGATACACCGGCCGGCGGCGTGGCGTATCCCCAGAAGGTAGCTACTATATCGTCCAAGAGCCGATGCTGGTGGCTACAAGGGGGTAGGTGCCGCGGTCACTTTGTGAACTAACCTGGCTTTGCCCGCTGTTTAATTAAGTCTCGCCGAGACTACTCGTCCTCGCTCCCT